AGCAATTGATACATTTTATCTAACTGTTTTGTGTTCGGAGGCACCCACAAAAACAACTGCAAAAACCACCCCCAAATTGGGGATATATTTTACTGGAACTGGATAGGGTCTCATTTTAGCAACTTACATTTTAAAAGATTGATATTTCACAAAGCAAGCAGTGTTGTAAGGGGGAGCAGGGAAACAAACATTGGACATTTCAGAAAAAACATTGAACATGAGATAAGCTCTCGAGTACAGAGTATATAGTCTGTAGCTAATGAAACACCTGACACAAGGGGAGAGGTTTTATCAGTCTCTTACAAAAAATGCGCACACATCCTGTCAGTGCACATTAACATAACTCTTACGCTAACAACAAAACCAGGTCTAATTATAGCCTAATCACTATGCTATCCCAGTACAGTAGAGAGAAAATGGGAGAAAACCAGTTATTAGACCTGCCAAGAGCATCTCTGCACCAGCCAATGCCATTCTACCAAAGTTCCCTATCCTATTCTGCACTCTATTTAAAGTTTATTCTTAATTTTAAGTTTAACCTTGCACATTGTCCCTGGACCACTACTTAGACTTATTTATTTGCAGCATTTATGAAATTCTGTTCCAGTGAGAAATTTCTCAAAGTATGATGTGATAAAAAGAGCAGATACAATTAAACAGTGTAGAATAAATGAACAAATAAATAAAAACATATAACTTACATAAAATAAGTAAAATGGCAATTTAAAACTGGAGGTGGAGTGGAGGCAGATAATGAAGTAGTTTAGTGGGCTTCCCCATGGAGGTTGTTCTGTAACCACTTAAGATGTTTCATTAAGAATTAAGCAGTATACAAATTATGTTAAATAAACAAATAACAGTGTAGGCACCACCATTGAAAAGTCTCCATTCTACTGTGCCTCAGAGACCTTACTTAATAAGCATAAGGGATACAGAGCAGGTCCCAACAGCTGGAACTAACCTGGTTCCTTCAATTATCTGAGGCCTCCTCTGGGTACTTCCTCCAAGGTTGGTTCAGAGGGTTACAGGAAGGAAGAGGGCCTTTTCCATTGTGCCCGCCTACTTGTAGAATTCTCTTCCCAGTGAGGTCTGCCTGGTGCCACCATTAGCGTCCTCTGAGTGCCAGGTAAAAATTTATCCCATGTGCTTGACAGATTAGGATTATTTTAATATTGATTGTAATTTCTTTTTGCTGCTGTTTTACCTGGTTTGTTTTATGGGTTATGGGTATGGTTTTTTTATTATACTGCAATACTCTTATGCCATGCACTATGCAGTTTTTTAAAAAGTGTCAAATAACTAATTAATTGAAATAATAATAGAGAATTTGCAGGGGCTAGCTACATGTAACATGCAAATCGAGTACTTTTATTTTCTTTTAAAATTAATTATAGTTTTGGAGTGAGGAATTTAGAGCCAAGTAGTAGCGGAGTAGCTTAACACTTCCTTTGCCTTTCAGTTTCTGCACCACAAATTGCCTCCCCCTCCTTTTCAACACATGCACACGCGCAATCCCAAAGCAGCTTTTCTAAATAGAACAAACCAAGTCCGGGCTGTAATCCAGGGGGTGCAGCAAAGGAAGATTGTTGTCTCTGGGTGATTTACAATTAATCAGCATGGGTTTCCAATGACAGCCACCCCACCCTGCCAAATTAGGCCACTAAAATTAAGAAAGATTTAGGGAGAAAAGAAGAGCAGACTTTTGTGTGAAAGGAATATGAGCTCAGGTCTGGTACGGAAAACAAATTCCTGAGCCGCAAGCAATCAGAGGCACTCTTTTCCTAAATTTCCTCTCCACTGAGTACTTTTAAATACCTGGCTCCAACTGGTGGATCTACAGGTTGAAATGAGAAAACAACGCTCAGCTTGAAAACCTGAAATTTGACCACCCTGTTCTAATATATTTGTAGTAGTACACCCCTTCAGTGACTTCAGTCTGAAACAGCTGTAAATTTTTCAAATAAACTAACATGCACAATATTGAGGCACAATATTGAGGGTACTATCCATTTTGAGCATTTTAGAGAATGGCAGGATATAAGTGTATAATAATTACTATCAAAAATTTATAGCCTGCTCATCATTAAAATAATCCCAGAACTTGGTGCAATATGAAAAATCAAAAGTATATAATCAAATAAAACATAGAACCTTCAACCCAAGTCACACTGATCCAGCAGGGCAAGCATGCCCATATCCACCATAAACAAATTAACCACATCAACAGAAGCCAGGATAAATAAATTTGTTTTAACTGGTGCCAGTCAAACCTGACATGCCAGGGTACTCCATAATTGGGGACCCACTACTGAGAAGGCCCTCTCATGCCCCACAGCAAATACTTGGTAAACATGGCATAGATAAGAGGGCGTTTCCAGACGTATCATTGGAGGTTTTGAAGCTGGGTTGCCATCTGTTATGGATGCTTTAGCTGAGATTCCTGCATTGCAGGGGGTTGGACCATATGACCCTCAGGGTCCCGTCCAACTTTACAGCTCTATGATTCTGTAATCAACAGACAGGTGTATATGGGGACAAGCAACCCATCAGGTATCTAAATCCTAAACTGTGTTACAGCTTTGTATGTCAGAACAAACAGCAAACCAGCAGCTAGGGTGGTTCCATCAGAACTGGTATAATATGTTATTGTCCGCAGCCTGCACCAACACACTGCTCATTCAAATTAAACTATAGTTTATTTTGTCTACTGTTTGTGATCTGCAAACCAGGCCTGTGTGTAGTTCATTTTGTCATAATTAACACATACTCAACTTTTCCTAACCATTCCTTTATTTAGAGATATTTTGCAGGTTTCCAATATCCGGGGGGTGGGGGTGGGGAGAGACCCAATCAGATCACTATTTAAAATAAACAAATGCACAGCTGGCGGGAGTGGTGGATGGTTTTGTTTTTGTTTTTAACCAACTGCTGTTTTACGTAAGCAAATAGGTACATGGTCTGACTTACTTTTAATTATAATTTAGTGGTGACTAAGGACAGATCGTGAAGCTGAGGCTCCAATACTTTGGCCATCTCATGAGAAGAGAAGACTCCCTGGAAAAGACCCTGATGTTGGGAAAGATGGAGGGCACAAGGAGAAGGGGACGGCAGAGGACAAGATGGATGGACAGTGTTCTCAAAGCTACCAGCATGAGTTTGACCAAACTGCTGGAGGCAGTGGAAGACAGGAGTGCCTGGCGTGCTCTGGTCCATGGGGTCACAAAGAGGCAGACACGACTGAACGACTAAACAACAACGTCACTGGAACAAGTTCTGGGGGTGGATATATAAGCATACTAAGGGCCAAGCTTGTATGGATGTAATTAACATGTATGGTATAAAAGGAAAAAGAGCACATGGATTTTAACCCCCACTCCCATGATTCTGTTATTTGCACTAGGAAGGAAGCCTCCAGAAGATCACCTCTTTTGTACTTCTTTTTAATAAAAGTGGGACCAATATGGAAATAATTGCTGATGATTTTCAACTGACCTAATGAGTGTTGCATCAATAACCACCATTAATTGATTTATTACATTTTATTTACTTATTATATTTATTACATTTTTATTAGGATTGAGGGAAAACAAGCAGGTGGGAAAGAGAAAGCAACAAATAGCAAGGAATAAGACAGATTGACATTTATATAAAAACTGAAAGACTAGAGGCCATTGGTTTATACTGAACATTTTTATTAAAAAACCACACCTGTCTTATATACTGTAGACTGTCCACCTGGTAGAGCGGCTTATTGGTTTTATACATATATGTAGTATTTCAAACAATACTTGGTGAAAACAAGCTATCTCCCTGAAGCACAATTAGCACTGCTGCAATATATGTATGTACATTTTGCTGTGGCTCTCAAGGTAGGATTGTGGCAAACAATGACCAGGAAAATAATGGCCAGTGGAAGAAGTTCCAAATTGGAGGTACATGTGCTGGAGATAGGTTCATTAAATTGCTAAAATCAGATACTTTCACCACTCCATTGATTTGTATAGGACCAGAGGAATGGAATTAGGATAGGAATTAATTCAGTTTTTCCCTTCTGCTGAATCAGGGCTGGTAAGTAGTAGCACAAAGGTAAATAGTGGTGTTAACGGAGAAGTCATTCACGTTGCATTCCAGAAATTAGAAACATAGGTGTGACTTTAGCAGGGCTGTTGAGAGCAGATGGAATGCTAGTCTCAGTTCTGGGAAAAGCTCATAAGGTGAGTTAGAAATGGATCACACATTCCAAGTGTTTGGCTGGGGTAGCAAAGGGGAGGTTTGGCCTCATTGAAGCGCCTCAGTTCAAACGGAAGGAAGTTTGGATCTAGGATGGCAAGGGACTGCAGCCTGGGCTTGGGAAGTGCCAGCAGAGCCTCTGCTGGAGGTGCCCAATGAGGAAATAATTTTCTCCTCAAACTCTGCATCTCAGCTTCTTAGCTGGTCTTGTTATCTGACCTGCCCTCCTCCCCCTTTGAGTCCTTAATCGGGCTCCACCGTCCGATTAAGTACCTTCAAAGCGGCTTGTCAGGCAGCTAAACCTGTCTTTCCTTGCCCCTTTGGCTACAACTGCTCTGCAGTCCTTGAGGATAAGCTTGGCTTAGCTGAGGCTTTCCAGCCTTAAGGACGATTAAGGAAGACAGGAATGCCGGGGGGGGGGCACAGATAATTTGTAGCCATACAAGAAGAGACCTCGGGACCCCTCAGGTATAAAGGCAACCTGTACAACCACGCAGTGACTCATGACCCGCTCGCCATGGTACCCCGGGCCGCCCGGCTGCTTGTGACTCCGTCCTCGCAAAGGGATGTGAACTGAAGCCAGATTCTCTTTCTCTTTCTGCCCCATCTCAAATAGCTGCCTCTCAACCTGCCTTTCCCACCCATTCCCAAGCAGGCCCTCTCTTTCAGTTTTCTCTGCTCAATCCATCTTACTTTGCACACACTCCACTACCCTCTCAACTCCCCAGCTCCATCATTTCCCTCTCATTGTCCCCACTGCAATCCCCACCATGCACAAAGCCCGCTCTGACTCCCAGGATGACCTCCCGGAAAATTTCTTCATCCCAGTGCCCTTGGATGTTGCCAACATCACAACTCTAAGTCCTTTTCTGGTACCTCAGACTCACCTTGGTAGTCCAGGCCTCTTTATGAGTATGGCTGCCTTCATGTTCCTATTGGTTGTACTTGGGGTACCCATCAACATCCTCACCATCTTCTGCACTTTCAAGTACAAGAAGCTGCGCTCCCACCTCAACTACATCTTGGTCAACCTTGCTGTGTCAAACCTGGTGGTGGTCTGCATTGGATCTACCACTGCCTTCTACAGCTTCTCCCACATGTACTTCATCATGGGCCCTCTTGCTTGCAAGATAGAGGGCTTTGCTGCCACATTGGGTGGTAAGTAAATGTTTTGAAACTTAGTAGCATTGGGAAGAATGAGGAGGATGAGTGGGTGGATGAGAGAGCAAGAAGACACAAGACTGGGAAAGCTGAAGGATTGTAAGGGATGAGTATGTGGGGCTATCTGAGGGTTTCAGGTACGGTGAAGTGACATTGTCAGTTAGCAAGCCAGAGACAGCTTGAATAAGGGCAATTGCACATTGTGAACAAGACAGCAGAGACTGAGGTTTGGGGAAAGCAAGGAATTGGTATGTGGCTGTTTTCTGCATCTGCATTTCCATATGCATAGGGGGCTGACTAGACAATCCTGTCCTCTGTTTTTTCACTCCCAACCAGGCATGGTGAGCCTATGGTCCCTGGCAGTTGTGGCCTTCGAACGATACTTGGTCATTTGCAAGCCTCTGGGAAACTTCACCTTCAGAGGCACCCATGCCATTGTTGGTTGCGTCATAACATGGGTCTTTGGCTTGGTGGCTTCAGTACCACCCCTGTTTGGCTGGAGCAGGTATGTGCTGGAAAGAAGGTTATGTCAGGGAGGGGAAGGCTGAGCTGAGATTATGGGAGGAGAGGCAGTCTGGGTTAAGGCACTAAGATGGAAATTTATACCTTACATGGAAATGAGTTATGTACAGTTCCCCCCACTTCTGCCTGAGGTACCTCCCCAGTTCTTTGCCATGCCTAATGTATTTAGGGTACAATTAACGCCACTCTCTGCTATTAATGGAAACCTATTGCTGAAAAGTGTTTAACTTCCTTAGGTATATTCCTGAGGGGCTGCAGTGCTCGTGTGGTCCTGATTGGTATACAACAAACAACAAGTGGAACAATGAATCTTACGTCCTGTTCCTCTTCTCCTTCTGCTTTGGAGTGCCCCTGTCTGTTATCGTCTTTTCTTACGGTCGTCTTCTTCTAACCCTGCGGGCAGTGAGTACTACCTCTTTCCTCCCTTCTGCTCCCCTCTGATGAGACACGGCACTAAGGAAAGGTAGCAGACAGCCCCACCACCAGGGTGAAAACCTGCTTGGGTGTGTAACTGTCCAAACTGAAGAGGAGTGTCTAGACAGGGATGGGTAAGAACAGGGGAAGCGGCTGTGGAATGGCACAGTCCACCAACCAGCGTTAGCTCTTTCCAGTCTTGTTGCCAAGTATCCTTTTTGTGGGAGAAGCGAAAGATCCAACATGGAACCTTCTATATCATGCGTAGGCAAACTAAGACCTGGGGCCGGATCTGGCCCAATTGCCTTCTAAATCTGGCCCGCGGATGGTCCAGGAATCAGCGTGGCCAGATGGGTGGGGTATGTATAAAGAAATAAATAAATAAAATTATTATTATTATTATTATTATTATTATTATTATTATTATTGCAGTGTGTTTATACGTGAGTAGAATGTGTCCTTTTATTTAAAATGCATCTCTGGGTTATTTGTGGGGCATAGGAATTCGTCCCCCCCCCCTTCTTCAAAATATAGTCCGGCCCCCCACAAGGTCTGAGGGACAGTGGACCGGCCCCCTGCTGAAAAAGTTTGTTGACGCCTGTTGTATATTAAAAGCAAGTGTGGCCCCTCTTTGGCCTGCTTCCCCACAGGGAGGCTCTGGTGGACTACAACCCCTGCCTGGACGGGGATTTGAACTCATGTCTGTTGTTTCCTGAAGTGACATGTTCTTGACCTCCATGCTACACAGACACAGGTTAATGTAAAATTCTGTAGGTGCCACATGCCTAAGGGCCAAATGAGATGTGATATTAAATGTGTGAATGCATGTAAGGTGTCTAGTTAATGGGCAGTATCCAACAAATACATCCCATCAGAGTAAGGGTTTATGCCTGCATAGTGGAACTTTCTCCCCCTCTCCTTCCCGCATGCAGTCCATAGCTTCCCAAAATCTGCTCCAGAGGATTGGGGGAACCCCTAAAACAGATTTAAGATGCACATGAGAGGAGGGGAGGGGGAGAAAACTCCGTTGCACAAATACTTGGACTGGCAGGACACTTACTTTGTGCTATGTTGGATACAACTGAATATCTCTAAATAACTGTCACCAGGGAGCCAAATAAGGATTGGCACTACATCATACAAATAGGCAACATAAACTATCTACCCTGCTTCTGCAATCCTAATTAAAATGTCCCTAGCTGATACTCCCCCTCGGGTGGAGAAAAGAAGTCATTGGAACTGTTGTGGGGGGAGACATTCTCTTCATTGTGCATTCATGATGCATAGCACACATGATTATATTGGGGTGGTTATATGCAAACTCTGTTTTTATTGATGGATGGATGGATTGTTTGGATTTGTTACCCATGCTTCACCAGAGTGGGCTACAGCAATTTAGATATACACTATTAAAAACATATCCCAGGGCAGGTCTCAGCAATTTAAATATATATTATTAACAGTAGTTTTAAACAAATTACAGTCACAAGAATGGTATGGGGCCTAAAATATATATATCCCCAGTGTCAAAGGCCACAGTAATATGCATCTTCAGTATGCAACAGAACCTACACAAGGAAGGTGCCGGATGCCCCTTTGTGGGCTGGAAATCCTACACCTTAGGGGCCACCACAGTGAATGCCCTGAACTTCTGAGGGTGGTGCAACTACTTCTGCTCATGCACACCAACTTACAAAGCCGATTGAGGGGACTGGTGTCACGCACACAGATTGCGTGTGTGATGTCACATGCCTGCGAGCGTCCCGAAGGTCAGCTTCTCCTCCCCTTCCTGTGGTTGCGCCAAGTGCTGTGCACACTGAGGGGCCTGATCAATACTTTTCAAGCAAGGCATCAACAGATTCGGCTGCAATGGCAGCTGTATATGTGTGTTGAGTTACATCTGCATACTTTCGTGCACTGCACACATATGAAGGCACACCAGTGTGTACAAATCTGTGTACAGATGCACAGTTCCTGCCATCAATCTTCTAAACCGACACTTCCCAAACTTACAATGATCGCATACCCCTTATGGGAGCTTAGACTTACCAGCAGCCGCCTTTTGGGTGAAGATAATTTGGGGTTAGTTTTAATAATACTATTTTATCTTTGAATTGTCTGCTGCAGCTAAAAAATCAATGTTAAAGTAACATTAAAATTTCTGTTTGCGTACTTCTAGGGGTACATGTATCGTGCTTTGGGAAACACTGCTTTAAGGAATTGCTTCCCCCTGTATCAGCTAATGCAGAAAGTGCAATGAAGAAAATATGAAGGAACTGGAAGGAGTAGGAAGAGGAATTAATATTTGTTTTGGGAATAAAAATATGGGAGGAGTCCCATTCATTTCAGTGGGGTTTGTAGAGGAAAGCTGCTCAGTGGATTATGTTCCATATCAAGTAGGAGGTAGTGTAAGAAAATAATGGACTTGCACTGAAGGGAAGATTTTTAGGCCGAATGTTAGCGAACTCGTAAGAGCACAAGCAGTGATAGTTGTGGAACCTCTGATCATGGAAGGTTTAAATAAAAGGTAGAATGACGTCACTTGGCAATGCTCTATGGAGGAAAAACCAGGTTTCAATCAGATAAACCACAAGGTCCCTCCCAATGTAGTGATTCTTAGCTAGGACCTTGCATTCAGAAATCTACTCCATGGGTACTAGGCTCCACCATGAGAGACAGAGGTTGTGGTGATAAGCATAGCCAGTGTTTTATTACAGCAGATTCAACCCCCTTCACCCACTCAGGTAGTGCCTTTGCTCACTGTAGACCTAATCAATACACCAGGGCTGCAGTTTTCCATTTTCTTTCTCCATCAATATGGCAACCCTGTACTGTGTGCAGTCTGCCGCCTGGGCTTCAGTTATTCTCACTCATGGTTAATCATCTCCCCACCTCATCAGGTTGCCAAGCAGCAGGAACAGTCAGCCACCACACAGAAGGCTGAGAGAGAGGTGACCAAGATGGTAGTGGTGATGGTGATGGGCTTCCTGGTGTGCTGGCTGCCATACGCTTCCTTTGCATTGTGGGTAGTGACCCACCGTGGAGAACCTTTTGACGTTCGTCTGGCCTCCATCCCCTCTGTCTTCTCCAAGGCCTCCTCTGTTTATAACCCTGTCATCTACGTCTTCATGAACAAGCAGGTTAGCACGGGAAACATCTATAACCAAGCTGGTCTGGGTAGAAAGAGAGAGTGGCACATTTATCCCTGGTCCTGAATGCGGTAACTGTGCCCCTGAAGAACCAGGTGCGCAGCCTGGGAGTCATTTTGGACTCACAACTGTCCATGGAGGCACAGGTCAATTCTGTGTCCAGGGCAGCTGTCTACCAGCTCCATCTGGTACGCAGGATGAGACCCTACCTGCCCACAGACTGTCTTGCCAGAGTAGTGCAAGCTCTGGTTATCTCCCGCTTGGACTACTGCAATGTGCTCTACGTGGGGCTACCTTTGAAGGTGACCCGGAAACTGCAACTAATCCAGAATGCAGCAGCTAGGCTGGGGACTGGGAGTGGCCGCCAAGACCCCATAACACCGGTCCTGAGGGACCTACATTGGCTCCCAGTACATTTCCGGGCACAATTCAAAGTGTTGGTGCTGACCTTTAAAACCATAAAGGGTCTTGGCCCAGTATACCTGAAGGAGCGTCTCTACCCCCATCGTTCAGCCCGGACACTGAGGTCCACCTCCAAGGGCCTTCTGGCGGTTCCCCCCCTGAGAGAAGTTAGCTTACAGGGAACCAGGCAGAGGGCCTTCTCAGCAATAACGCCCACCCTGTGGAACACCCTCCCATCAGATGTCAAGGAAATGAACAACTATCTGAATGTTAGAAGACATCTGAAGGCAGCCCTGTTTAGGGAAGTTTTTAATCTTTTAATATTTTAGCGTTTTTTTAATATTCTGTTGGGAGCCACCCAGAGTGGCTGGGGAAACCTAGCCAGATGGGCAGGGTATATTATTATTATTATTATTATTATTATTATTATTATTATCCCATACCTCTTGTATGCTCTGTTGGGTTTCCCTGGAATCATTTAGGGCTCTGGCAATCTCTCCTCACTGCCCTGAATGTTCACTTGTGCCCCCTATGACCAGGACTTCATGCAAAGAATATAAAATCCCTCACTTGGCTTACATGTCAACATTTCTCCCTGAGCTTATCAAGGACTCTGGTATCGTCTCAGGATATGCACTCAGTGTCCCTCTGTCAAATTACCTGACCTACGGAGTATGCATAGCAGTACATGTATTTGGAGACATTTCCGTTTTGAAGAGAGCTTTGTGATTTTCACACTGAACTTGGGGAGCACCCTATGGTTCCCTGCTAGGTTGTCCCTAAAGTGTCAGTAACAGTGGACAATGAGAAGGTCAGTAATTGTTGAGAAGTTTCTCTGAAAGACGGCTTCTGCACCACTGTCTGTCTTCGCCTGCAATGTGTAGCCACAGAATAATGTTAGGCATGTTCAGGGTTGCGCTCTGAGAGGGGCACTGTTGTGATGGAACAGGTCTGGCAAATGTGTCACAATCTTCTGCAGTGTGCAGGGGTTCCTTGGCAGATGAACAGATGTGAACAGGCTTCCCTTAAGTTTGAAAATCAGAGCTGGAACCCTGGCATTCAGCACTGCACCTCTCTCGTATGGACTAGGGCTCAGAAAACTGTTGTGTCCTTCTTCCCTAGGGCTGTGACATCCCTGCTAATTAACCCTCTCTCCCTTTCAGTTTCGTTCCTGCATGCTGAAGCTTGTCTTCTGTGGCAAAAGCCCCTTTGGTGAGGAGGAGGATGTTTCGGGTTCCTCCCAAGCCACCCAGGTCTCGTCGGTGTCTTCCAGCCAGGTGTCACCAGCGTAACCATGAGCAATGCCCACACCACCCACTCTACCTCCAGGGAACACTTCTACTGTATGCAGCAACACCCTTTGCCCTGCACAGCAGGATGCGCCCAATGTGTGCATTACTCCTGCAAGGGTCCCATTGCAGTTCCATTCGTTGCATCTGGCATTTGGTTTCTGTACAGGGCACTCACATTACATACCCCAGCCGGCATTGCTCCACCCGTCTGTACAATTAATGTTGCACTACAAACAGTTGTTGTGCTCATGGACTGCTCTTCCTGTCCCACTGAGGTGAGCAAGGTTATCGGACACACTGAAAAGCTATGGATGGCAATCAGGGGAGTCACTACCAGCTGCTGCAGAAAGTCAAGACCCTCGCCTTGTGGAAGTGACATCTGGCTGGTCCAGCTTTCCTGTCTCTGCCACTGCAGGCAAATCTGTAAAAAGAAGAGCGTCTGGGTTATATGTGAATGTCTTTCTGAGCTCTGGTTTATGTGCATTAGGAATTGGGTGTGCTATGAACAGTTAGATTGGCAAACTGCAGTGCATGTACTCATTTACTTCCACCTCCATGAGAGAACAGTCCCTTCTCACCAGCATCAGATCTGGCACATCTGGCCACAGGTGCCTGATTTGGAGGAGGGAAAATTTTATCCTCTTAGATAGTAAAATTGCAAGTCAACCTTCCCTTTCTCTTCCTCCTCCATATTTCATTATCTCCAGCAGGAGGCAGCAAAAATATATGTCAATGCTTACAGATAGTAGGTCTGATAACCCTCAAAGCAGAACACAACACCACAGATGAGCTTTGTGTTCCAGGTAACCCTAAACCTCTGAATGCAAACACTTTTGCATGGCAGCTGCAAGGCATGGATCACTAAAATTGCCTGATGACTTCCATTGGAGCAAATGCCAGAGATAGGTTACTGGGCTCTGTGGACCATTCCTCCTGAATTCCTTCCATTAACACAATGACTCATTGGGGTCTTCAGAATCAGCATGTCAGAAGACACAAAACCAGTTAAGCAGTACCTCTTGAGAAGTTCCTGTCTAAAATATATTTTAAAACCTTCCATTAAAAAGGATGGGGATTTAACAACCCCTCATAGCAGGATATGTGAATACTGAGGAGTTATTTCACAGGGCTGTCATGTCATTATCAGATATTCCTTATAGTTCTCAGAAAAGCAATTGACTGCACCTTAGGCCACAAAAGTAAGAGCCAAAAGTGCTTTGAACATGTTAACATATTCAAAGCACGTTACATACGTTATCTCAATAATCGTAACACCAGCCCCATAAGGCAGCCTGGCATTATGAGCTATATTACTGAAGGAGAGCTGATCAACATGGTTTTGCCTAAGGATACCTGGTAAGTTCATAGCTAAATCAAGATTTGAAAACTGGGAACATCCTGACATATAGTGTATGTTATAAACAAATAGTAAGGGCCAGGAATAAAACAAGGTAAAAAACCCTCTCATAACTTACTCTTTTAGAATGCCTCATGACTTCATGTGACCTCCAATACTTTGAGTTTCTGGGGATGGATAAGTTACTTCCCCCTCTGCTCTTTACCTGTCATCCCCTCATGCCATTGCCAGGGTAGAAGAGAGAGAGAGAGAGAAACAGAAACAGGACTCATTAGGGAATAAAAGTGAAGGCAGTCTATAGAGCTTGAGGGGCCAGTCATGCCCCCCATAGCAGTAGCTTAAGAGGGCTGTCATGAAAGGTAAAGGGGTCAAGGGCTACCTGCCTTCCCTATCATTTGAGCATTGAGCAACAACCTTCTGCACTAGATAAACCAGGCTGATAGGCTTCAAACTTTGCCTCTGCTGTGCAGCCCCCTTTTAGCATACCCAAGAAGCAGACAGTCATTGCAGGGCAATGGTGGTTGTATTTTGTAAATATCCAATAACCCCTCAAAATCCACCCCCATCTCTGTAATTCCCTTCTATCTTCATGATTATCACCTTGTAAATGGAATACCTCTCCCCAGTCTCTCCCAGTTACATGAATAAATACAATGGAGATGCAGCTTTGGAATCCACAGTGATGGCTGGTTATTTGCAATCGCATATTGTTGCTAGAGAAATGCCCATTGCATGCCCCGCCTTTTCCTTTCTCTATACATCTGTTGTGTGCCACCCTGTGCCCTGCCACGTCCCTGGGATGCACATGAAATAAGTGCATCCTTATGACAGATACTTTCACTCTAGCCTGTTAAAGCAAGGAAAACCTGAATTTCCCTATGGAACAATCTATAAAATTGTTTATAACTCTTGCCTCTTGCATTTTGGCAAATCCTCCATAATCCCCTTGCCTGAGATCACATAGGCAGACAGCCATCAGGGGGAGTTCCTGAATCTGCCAGTGTTTGCCCAGATGCTCTGCACAGAGGATGCCTGCGCAGCATCCAGATTGTCTTATCAAACGCAAATGCTTTGTGTAAACTGTGTCTGGAACCATGTAAAACTGTCTAATCCTCAGGAATGTCACACCTTGGCCTGCCTGAGTCACTGTAACCCCACCTTGTTGTGATTTATTTCTGACTATTTGGAAAGGAGATGGAAACCTTTAAGAAGAGATGCTATTGCCCTGTTCTGGGTCCTTCACCTGACAAGGGGGGCGGGCTGGGTCTCTGTTGCAACAGATAATAAAAGATCAGCTTTGCTTTCACTGGATTTTCTGCCTCAGCTCATTCATCTCTGACTGGTAATGAAATCGGGGAGTTGGGCCATCAAAAGGCACCCCCTATTTTCTGGTAAAAGTATGTGATGATAAAGTCCCTATTTCTTCCCTTCTCTGAGTGATGGGGGCTGGGCTGTGTGGAAAAAACAGCAACCCGTCCAGGAAGGGCCTTGAATTTAAAACACAAGGAGCCTGTACATGGACAAGTTGCTAACGTGAATCTGGGAAAGGAGTCTCCCTTGCCCAGCCCCTTCTGCTCAAGCCTTGCCCTGGTGCCTTGCCCCCTGAAGAGTGTCAGGCGCGCGGCCGAGTTCTGCTAGTAGTGAACTTTTTCTAACTGTAAATAGTTCAGAACTAGCGGAATTCCTGACGAGAGCCCAGAAAGCTGGGGCAAGACCCAACTAAAAGACGAGATTCATCACAGAAATACTCTTGGCAACTCGTTCTACAAGTCAGGATCCCAGATCTCTTACTGAAGGACTGTTAAAGTAATCCACCACCTAACAGTCCTCAGACAGATACTCTACCTCCCCATTCAGACTCCACTTAAAATCCACCATGCTGGATCCACAGATACTTCTGATAACCAAAACCACAGAAATAGTATCATGTGTCTCCATATTTGCGAACTTGCAGTCCCCCACACTTTATCTAGCTCAGAAGGACATGGGCCCCAAACTATAGAAAGTATACTTAGCTTTCAAACTGTAGGTTCTGCCAGGTTTCCACAGCTGACAGAGGTACATGCATGTAGTTATACCCCACCATTAGATGTCAGAAACTGACAAAGCCAGAGAAGGTATATGGAGCAGTCAAAACCTTTGGCTGGGAAAACAAGATAATCAAGAGGTCTGGATGTGCAGTAACATTACGAATAAAAAGCATCATACTGTGGAAAGAGGTGATGAGCTGCAGAGACCTCCACAATATGCAAAAGCTGGAGGGTGTTGCACATATACGATCTGAAGAGAAACCTGAGCATGCAATGTATTTTTTCTGTTTTGCAGCTGTGTGATTTGTGTGCATATTGTATTGTAATGGCCATTGGCTACAAACAATAAGATTGATTGATTGATTGATTGATTGATTGATTGATTACACATATACATGCATACCAGCAGAGTCTGCCAGGCACTTGTGGTCTCTATCCCTTGGTGGCTCACAAAAAAAAGAGAGTACAACATCCCATAAGCAGCACAATTATATCTTGAGCTGATTGATCAAAGGTGTTGGGTGTGTGCTCTCCCTAGAACCAACTACAGGCGTCATGCAGGGAGGGGTGAGCCCAGTGCTTTTTTCAGCTGGAACTCACTGGAACTCAGTTTTGACACCTCTCAGGTGGGCACCATTGCCATTATAAGAGAACAAGGGAGGTGTTCATGGTGAGTTCCGGCACCTCTTTTTCTAGAAAAATAGCCCTGGGTCAGCCCCTCCCTCTCTCTTTCAAAGCACATGTGATTAATCATCAGGAGAACCTAGAGCTGAAGGCACAACAGGTAGCCACAGTAAATGCTTTGTTTTTTCATAATTTAATCACAAATATATCCAAGGACAGACATTTTTGAATCTTCCCCTCCACACTAAAATATATACATGAAATGTCATCATTGAAGTAAAGTGCAATTGCACACACAAGCAAAGCATTTTCATTGCATCCACCATGTTGCATATTAGAAAGTAACCAAGGTCCTTCCACCCCAGTGTGCACAGTTGCGCAAGTCATTTAAATATGCCCCATGCACTGTACTGCACACAAATGTACATCCTGAAACCCCCTTCCACCCAAAAGCATTACCCCAAAGCGGAAGCTTCAATGGTCCTCTCCTTAAATGTGACTGACCCTGACATCCATACCAACAACCCAAGGTACCTGTCAGGATCCGATCCCCGCGGTGTGCCCCTGGCGCTGCCTCCTGGACCTTTGCTGCATGGCTCTTTCCACCTCAGCCTCCTAGGGCTCTGCCCCCTTTTCCGTGGCTGGGAGATTAAAGTTTCCAGTTTCCCTTAATCGGACTCCCCCGGAGTGACCCAAAAATCCCCTGGATTAGTTGGGGCCAAGGGGGTGGGTGTCACCTCCCATCAGCTGAGCAGCTTGGACTGAGCGAAGCTCACTGCAGTTTAAGGGGGAGGAGAATTAGGGCAGGTGTGAGCCGACTGGCAAGTAGAGAAGGGGAGCCAGTGGGGTCACATGGTTAAAATGGGGATCAGGACAGAGCGAGGCATTTGGATGCCTGTATGGAGCATCAAAATGGCGCACACACCAGATGCAGTTCTCACTGAAATGAATAGAAAAGCTCTTTTATAGTTCCTGTTAATTTAAATGGGGCTTTCAATGGAGATGGTGCCCAGTCGCTCAAAATAATGTTTCTTAATCCGCTGCTCAGAGTTCACATCCTGAAGCAGTTACCACATCTTAGTGGTAGTCATAGTAAGGGTTACCGGTGGTGGGTGTTAAATATGGAAGCCAGAGACAGCATCTTCCATTCAAGAATCCAGTAATCTAGTTCTTCCTGTACCACAAAAACAAAAACAAGTTCTGGGCGATAAATCACAATGATACCATGAAAATACTCTATTTCCCTTCAAACTATATAATAGAGCAGGGATGCAGGAGCTTTCGACCCTCCTGGTGTTGCTGGGCCACAGCTCCGATCATCTCTGACCACTGGCCCTGCTGGCTGGGATTGCTGGGAGGTGGAATCCCAGGGCATCTGGAGGGCCACAGGTTCCCCATCTCTGCAGTAGAGTCCTCTGGCTGTGTGAGTGTAGGATATGGAGTCCAAGAAGTGTGAGTGGTCCTTCCTGCTGGATTGCCAGAAGCCAGAAGGTACATACTGTATATTCTTGACTTTTTAGTGGATTCTGATGATCACATTATGGGGGCCGAGAGTTCAAAAGAGCTCCATCTCAGACAAAAACAATATTCCGCTGAACAGCCTAATACAATATACGTACTTTATGGTCTGGATTCTTAGGCACTGATATAAACACAAGTTCATACTGAGGTAGTAAACCTGTATCTGGAAATACTACTTCCAATTCCAAGTGGCTCAGATGATGGAATGTAGATACATAAATAAATCCCTCCTCATAGAAAATTAGCATGCCAGAGAGAATGCCATGCTAGATAGAGCCCCTCTACCTGACATGCAAGCTTTCTTTACGCAAGAAATTTATTTTGTGGGTTCTCATCAGCACTGAGAACTAGGTTTCAGTCTCTTTAAACCAAATACTGTAAGTCTTTGAGTCAGTTGATGTGTTGGCAACAAACATCCAATGAGAGATCAGAGCAATATAGCTTGAGTGGTTTCTTTCGCTCAGGGCAGTTAGAATCTTGGTTTTGTGAAAGAATGGAGAAGAAACACAGGCTGTTAAAACAAAGTGAGGTCATTTTCAAATTGCATTTGAACATTGCTATACACACCAGAAAGGGGGCAGGCATGTCTTCACCTGATGCACATTGCCTGTTTGGTTTCCCAACACCTGCAATCTCCCCAGCTCCTGTTCATGAAGCTATCATTTGTGCACGCACAATGTTTTTTTCAATGTACACACCTCAGCTTAACTGCAAAGTGAATCGGATGGAAGCTAGTTTGAGAATAAATGAACCAAACAGGAGTATTTATCAAGAAAATACAAGATAGATATGTATTATGGCTAAGGTCATGTGCACACAGCTTCCAACACCAGTGGTGGTAGCCCACTGAAGCGAGAGTGAATGGTAATGTGTACACAACCACATTGTTATAAGGTCTAAGATATAAAATACAGTGGTACCTTGGGATCTGTTCCGGAGCCCTGTTTGCATCCTGAAGCAAACGCAACCCGCATCCGCGCATGTGCATGTCACGTTTCGCTGCTTCCGCACATGTATGTAACGTCATTTTGACTGTCTGCGCATGTGCGTACATGCGCACGCAGTGAAACCTGGAAGTAACGTGCTCCGCTGCTTCCAGGTTGCCACGGAGCACAACCCGAAAATACTTAACTTGAAGCACATTTATCCCAAGGTATGACTGTAAATGTTCATAAATGTACCAGGCAAACACATACATAAATAAATATATAAGCCACATGTCTGAAACAGTATAGGAAAACAGTCCTGAAACCATTTTGACTCTCCCAAATTGACCTCAAATGTTTCTCTGCAAGGAGGAAGGAAATGGGAAAACCTCCCCATTGTCTTTTGCTTACCTGTCTTAAGGGTGCATTTGTGTATGAATAGGGTGAGCCTGTGACCTGGATTCGGGAACTGAGTATTTACCATCACAAAAAGAATGGCCAGGATGCCCAGGTAAATGCAATCAGTGACCGTTATTAGGTATCCTGGCAAACTGTCCCTTGAGTGATGTATGTAAGATGTATTGAGGGTGGCCTTGAGCTACGGGGGGGGGGGGATTTCAAAAGTTTATATAAGGACTTGAACACCAGTGTTCTGGGTTCCTCCTCCCTCCTGCATGGGGGGGGGATGAGCATCCTGTTGCAACAGTTTAATAAAGACCAGGCTTACTAGCTGCTTTGCTTCTCAATATTCTCTGGTTGGCCTCTGTTATTTTTCTCCTACCGATAGAGAACCTACATAAGGACTCTATATGGGATCTTGGATACCCCATAAGGGGAAAAGGAGCAGTTTTTTCTAACAGATTCAAGAAGATGTGGGAAGGGGGAATGACTTGCACATTAATTCCCCCTTCCCACATTCCCATTCAATCTGTATCCAGTGCTCTCCCGCCACTGATTTAGGAAGCAGTGTGCACAAGACTGTTGTTTCTTATGAAGTACTGCATTTTCATGTGCTTTACCCAAGCCACCTCCAATCTAAAATGTGGGAAATAAACAATCTAGCTGCATTTTAAGCTGGTGCAGCTGTAAAGGAAGCAGTTGAGACCAATGTTATCTCATTATGTTTATGGGTTAGTGGAGGAACAGGGACCCCCCAGACCCCTGGGTGCCAGATTTCCCCCTCTAAGTGCTGGGGTTAAATCAAAGCCCTGAGGATTAAGGTGGGCTGACAGGCTGGGCCAGACAGAGGGGCAGAGGGAGATGATGGCCCAGCTATTAACCCATCGCAAAAGACGTAAGACAAAAGACCCTGCCAGTAACCCAGGGGAGGTTGCTAGGGCAATGTGGGCATGATGTCACACAGAAAAGAGTTGTCGTTTTACACAGAGGTGTTTTTTGGCAAGGTGTTTTGGGAACAAGAATGAGGAAGTTAAAGAGAACTCCATGCGGTGCTCATGCCCCATACCACCCAACATTTCTCCAATGAAATTAGGGGTGTCCTATTCCGTAATAATAATAATAGGAATAATTTTATTACTTATACCCTGCCCATCTGACTGGTTTGCCCCAGACACTCTGGGTGGTTTCCAATATATACC